ATGTCATCCCTTTTTAGTTTATAAACAGATTAGACAAAGTTGATTAGACAAGAGAGGTACTTATGAAAAACTGAAACTGATGAATTTAAAATATATATGAGCCTATAGCAGAGCTACAGGGAGAAAGCCAAGACACAACATGACACCTCTATGCTGTGCCGGTGCCCTGGCTAGTGCCATGGACAAAATCCCAGGACCTGTGTGGGAGGTTAGAAATCTACCATTGAAAAGAAGGACTCTAGAGGAAGTCTGTACTCAAAAGGGGTGGGCTGGAGCCAAGGGAAAAGGGATAGAGGAATGAAGAAGAGAGGGGGAGAAAAATGCAGAAGTATAATCTAAAAAATTAAGAATTGTGCGGGAAGAGGTAGGGACAGAGTGGTTGAGAATTTTGAAAGGGGTGACACTGACCAAGATACATTGTATTTATAAACCCTTCTGTTAAATTGCAATTCCTTTCTACGACTACTTAAAGGTAATTTAAAAAATTAATTTAATAATAAGAAAGTAAGGATTCCCTTTCATGCTAATGTTGTGAAGGGAGATGTTGGCTGACATTTGAAGATGTATTAAGATTAATTAAGAGTAATACATGCTAGTACTACTGAATACGTTACTTTTGCTATTATCAAAAAACCCACATCAAGTGATTAAATGCTAATATAGTTAAACTAAAATTATCTTGTACTCTTTAAGGGGTAAAACTATTTTTTTCAGTGAAAGATGAAGTTGTTTAGGAAGTACAACTTAAACTTAATGCTGCTGCATCTAAGTTCATTGTTGTAAATTATGGTGGTATAACTACAGAAATGAGTATTTTATTCCTGTTTTATTTTGAAGTTGAGAGGTTAATTAGGACTTAAGTTCAGTGCATCCCTTAACCATCACAAGTGAACATGTTAATTATTGCCATGTAGATGATTCTGAGGTCAAATATATTATATAAAATATGAATGAGCATAATGCTTTTGACTCATACAGGCTGTTGTTTTGGGTTTTGAAAATTCTAAGCCTAATCTAGTGAGGCAAATGCTAATGGAATGTGTGATGGTTAAAATGCCCTTCCTCTACATAATGGGAGTTGTAGATGTTTAAAGGGCGACATCTCATTCCCTTAGCTTCTCATTTATGTAGAAATCTCTGGGCTTCCAGAAATTTTATTAGAAATCAAGACTATTGCAAATATCACAACTTATTCTAAGAAGTTTATACACAGTAGCTGATCACTGACTCATACTTGGTACCTGAACTGGATTAGAGAGTTATCGGGCATAATTTAAGCTGGTGATACATGAACTTAACCATCTTCTAGCCTCCCCAGTATCATTTCAACACGTAGGAAATATGATTGACCAATTAAATAACCCACATTTTGTACCTTCCAGATTTTGCCTATATTTTGTCATTCCATTCCTTCATTTAATTTCATGTAGCATTGTTAAATTATTTTTTTCTTAGAAAATCACTAGCAATGCATGTAACAGAAGAGTCTTTGAAGGGCACTGAGTGCACTGATTAGAGACGTGTGCTCAGACCCAGGCATTCCTCCTGAGCAGGAGGAGAGAGGCCCCATCTTAGGGGCTGCACATTGTGACCCCTGACTTGTCACTGTATTTTAGTCAGCTTTTCCAGTTGCCTAATGAAAAATCTGGTTATTTTAGAGATAGCAATGCCTTGGTGTTTTACATAGAATCAAATACTCCTTGAGTTTATTTTTGAAATCTATCTCTGAGGTTCTTCTAGAGGTCCAGTTTGATGTCTGAGAGTTGGTATCAGATATGCTGTTGCAAGAGAACCCTAATTCAATATAATTTTACCTTTTCACACCTTGAAACATGAACAAGTTTTCAATTTTCAACATTCAATTAACATTAAGTTGCTAAAAATTAAATGTTCATATTTCTCATATAAAGTATAACTGATAAAATCCACTAAATTGATGAAATAAGAACAGGCTGTGATACTCTCCTTCATTTTTTTCTTCTTAATGTCCTTACAAAACCATACTTTAAATTTATTGAGATCTCCATCCCCTAAACAATCAGAAATATCTATCCACAGTTCATTTTGTGAGGGTTTCATTCTAATTTATTCTACATTTTGCTTCTGTTGGTTATCTTTTTGTTTCCACAGTCTTGCTACTTAAGGAACTGTGAAGGATTTCAGATACTACTGCCTCCCAGCTGTAGGTGACATCAGTCATGAACACTGAGTGCAGGTATGGTGACAAGGACATGATTTTGCCAGATGTATGTAATTGACTAGGAAGTAACAGAGATGACTTGTGTCTCTTTGCTCTTCCTCACAAGTGCTTGTCTAAGTATTAATTTCCACAGAAGGACGACTCTCTCTGTATCTCACATCCTGAAATCATGGGTTGTAAAGTCATGAGTGTCCCATACACTCTGTACACATTGGAGGCACTAGACACACTACTGTGATTTAACTATGATTTCAAGTTACCAAGAGTGAAATTTCAGAATGATGTGATTTAATACAGATATGATTGAATCATTAGTTTCTACATTGTAGTTCCCATCTTCTTAATACTGAGTAATTGATGTTTTTGCTCAAATCATGGATTTACTATCTGTCAGTGGATCAGGAATGTGTCTAATGTTTTCCATGCAATTAATAACTATTTTAGGGATTATCTTATGAAAAGGGATCATATTTATTTCCCACTTCTTTACAGTTCCTACTATAAATTTATTGTTTAGATTTTAGAAAGATAAGTAAATTTAAAAATTATACAATTAAAAACCAGTATAAGGGTACAATTCCTCAGAAGGGCAAATTCATGGACCAACAAAATAAACACAAGGAAAAAGTACTCTAAATTTAGGGGTGGTGGGATAAAATGAAGGAAGTAAACAAATGAAGAGAGGCAAAGAGGAGTTAAGTCAGTCATAAAATTCAATGCACATCTTAGAAAATTAAGAAAATTGACATAAGAAATGGGTTCAGAGGAGATGATGGAGAATAATGAAAGGGATGATATAAAAAAGAAATATTTAGCTTTGCTTTGAAGATACTAAATAGAACTTCTATTTTCAATGTGCACATTGCCAAATAGCACACAACATAAAATTCAGTGTTTCTAAATCAAGGAATTTCTTTGTAAAACTTGGGAGAGGTTTGATGATTTGGCTATTGCTCATCGTGCACCTAAAAACGTGGTTATACAGATATCTCCATTGTAAGCTGACTTTGATTTATTTTGAAGAGGGAGGTATGTTCCCAGAGTGGTATAGAAGGATATATGGGATGTCTGATTTTGATTTTTGAGAAAACTCCAAACTAATTTCTTTTTGTCGGTTGTGGGACTTGAACTCTGGGCCTGGGTGCTGTCCCTTAGGTATTCAGCTCAAGGCTAGAACTCTACCACTTGAGGTAGCACCACTTCTGGTTTTCTGGTGGTTAATTTGGAGATAAGTGTTTCACGGACTTTCCTGCCCGGGCTGGCTTTGAACCAGGATCCTCAGATCTAAGTATTCTGAGTAGCTAGGATTACAGGCGTGAACCACCAGCATCGACTTTCCAAACTAATTTCAATAGACTACTTTACATTCCCACCATCAATAGACTACTTTACATTCCTACCAGCAGTAAATAACAGTTCTGTTCCCTCTGCATCCTCACTAGCATTTGTTAGTGTGTGTGTGTGTGTGTGTGTGTGTGTGTGTGTGTGCACTGATCCTGGGGCTTGAAATCAGGGCTTGGGCACTGTCCCTGAGATTCACTGCTAAAGGATAGTCATCTGGCACTTGAACCACAGCACCACTTCCACTTTCTAAATCTCTCATGGACTTTTCTGCCCCAGTTGGCTTCAAACCATGACCCTCAGATCTCAGCCTTCTGAGTAGCGAGGGTTACAGGCCTGAGACACCTGTGCCCAGCTCGTATTTGTTTTCTTGATAACCATTCTTGGTGTAGTTTTGATTTGTATCTTCTTTATGCCTAGGAATGTTGAACAGTTGTTCATGTATTTGCCATTTTACTTTGTTTGAAAAACAGATAATGAAAATATCCACTACTTGATCATTAAGAATGAAATGATCTAATTTGCTTAAAAAATGCATAGACCTGGAGTTGTTCATGTTGGGTGAAATCGGCCATTCACACAAAACAAGTATCACATTGTTTTCACTCATTTATGTAAACTAGGAGAAACAAAATCAAACCACCAAGGCCAATGATATAAAAGGGGGATTACTGTAGAGTGGGGTGTTTGTATGTGTTTGTACCTGACCAAATGCATTAAAAGCATTCATTGAAATGCCATGGGCAATTTAATGTCAATGAAAACCTTAAAATGTTAATTTAGATATTTAGTGGCTTACATCACTCATATCTGATGCAATCTTTTTTCTTTTTTTTTTTGTTGGTCGTGAGGCTTGAACTCTGAGCTTGGGCACTGTCCCTGCACTCTTCAGCTCAAAGCGAGTGCTTTACTGCTTGAGCCACACACTACTTCCGGTTTTCTAGTGGTTTATTGGAGATAAGTCTCACAGACTTTCCTGCCCAGGCTGACTTTGAACCGAGATCCTCAGATCTCAGCCTCCTAAGTAACTAGGATAACAGGCGAGATGATGCAAATCTTATGTCAGTAAAATTTCCTTATATTTTTTCTTAGAATCATAATTAATCATGATAAGTGTGTGCCTCGTGTTCTGAATTATTTTGCCTTCCAAAAAGATTTTAGGACTAAAAGGGGGCAAGTGATATTCTGTTTTCTGTTTTTTGGTGTCATTTCACTTTGTTTAATTATAAAGATATGTAAGAGGGTTATTAGTTACAAATGTCAGATAATAGTACATTTCTTTTAAACAGTTGTTTTCCTTGCCCATACTCACCCACAAGTTGTATAGTTTATTTTCAACATGCAGTGATCTATTTTAAGCCAGTATTGTTTCTATTTAACCAAAGGGTCCTTCAGATATATTATGGATGTTACTAGGACAAAGGTAACAAGATTCCTGTAGAATGTGCCCATGGGCGCTTCAATATTGATATAACTTATCGAATATCAAAGCTTGTCTGAAATGATAGTAGCTCTTGGAAGGAGACACAACACAACAGAACAAGCTTAGATGTTGATGTGACGCAATGTGATGGAAGGGGAACATCCTCTGTTCAGATCCTCTCACATTCCTTCCCAGCATCAGATGGTCCATGTTAAAAAAAACCATACAATCACACAATCTCAGTGTTGTCACCAACCTTCAGAAAGAGAAGGTCTGGCTTTTGCAATACCAGCTATACATTTATTCTGAGTTTATAAGTTTATACCTATATCCAGATCCTACTAAACATATCCTCTTTTTGGGTAGATCTGCAGGGGTCATCAGAATTTGTACTCTCACTGATTAAAAATATGTGGATTTATGTGAAAAACTCGTGTTGCAGAAATGTATCTACCTGTACGGGGCCTAGGCTCTCTGTGCGGTTTCTGGTGTAGACTGCCTGAGTCCATAGAAGACACAACTCAAACTTGTTTCTTATAACATTTCCAGTTCAGCTTCTGGCTGATAGAGCTTTAAAGACTATGCAGGCCTGGGGCTCCTGCCTGCAAACCAACTCAATCCCGAGGTTGAGATCTAAGGATCCACTGTTCAAAGGCAGCCCTGGCAGGAAAGTTTATGAGCCTCAAATAATTGAAAGTGACACTCTTGTAGAATGCTAACCTTGAGCAAATAAAGCTTAGGGACAGTGCCTAGACCCTGAATACAAACCCCACATCCATCACCACCAATAACTCAGAGACTATCTAGATAAAGCTTTTAATCATGAATTAAGCTGAATTTGAGACAAAATCTTGCCCCCCAAAGTGGCTCAAGTCAGGATAAGGCCCACATTCCACACTTTCTCCCAAACCAACTATACTATTCTCCATCCCTGATGATTATTCTACATTCCAGCAAAAGGAACAATGAAAGGCTTTAGCATCTAACTCCAAAAGTCTCAATAAATCATGAGTCAACTGCCAACATTCTAGAGAACAGGCTGATCTGCTTCTATGCTTTCTGGAATTCAATGCAACTCAAACCAGTGACCCAACAGAGCCAAGGATCACTAGACATGAATGGCAGCATGGCCTTCCTTGAAGACCCCTAGCATCCAGTGGCTGAGACAGCTTCTGTGAAGATTACCAGAGAAGTGTCAATGGCAGATATAAGACAAACATAGGCTTTGTTAGTCAACATTCTGTCCTAGCTGAATAGCCAGCAAGCACAACAGATGATGTTCCAACCAAACCAAGTTCATTAGGTTGAACATCCTAGTAAGCTGTCTTCCCAGGCTTCCTTATTCTTACAAACCCAAAAGGCTTCGTGAAGTTTTTGTAGTGATTAAATGGACACGATAGGTGAAATGAGGGATTGAGGTGAGTCTTCAATGGCATTATGTCATGTGCCCATCACTTCTAGAAGCTGCTTTGAGGAAGACCACAGACTGCCCATCCCTATCCCAGTCGAAGGCACAAAAAGAAGCCACTACATCTCATGACATGCAAAGACTGTATTAAGCAATTTGAGGAGGGAGACGTCAGTCGACAGAGATTGTACTCATTCACAAAAACCAGATTTGCTATGTACGGACTGGAGTTTGTCCTGAGGATATGAAATGTAAGATGCATGACTGACTAACCCACCAAGAAGACAGTGCCGTGGGCAATGGATGTGCTGGCCTGAGACATTTGTCCCCCTTGGCCTATGCTGGTAGGCATGGCTGAGTAGAGACACAGGCTTTCTGGGAAGCAAGTCTGTCCCAGCGTTGTTATGATTTGAGAGACTTCTGTCATTGAGAGGACGGCTATGGCCAGTGGGGCCGGTTTGGGGAAGAGAGACCCTGCTGGTCTTCATTTGGCCGCCTCCTTGGTAAGGAGGAGCCATGTGGGAGTGGGAATGTCTATCTGTGAGGGCTTGAAATTCTTTGTGGAAAGTTTTGTTGGAGGCAGAAGGCCTAAGGTGAATTTCTTCTTCTAGGATTCGCCCAATGGTGTTCTCGAGTGTCTGGGCTTCAGGCCCTCCACCGTCTTGGATTCTGCTTGTTGTTAAGTCTTGGTTCTTGCTATTGGCTGACTGGATTTTTGAATTTGGCAGTGAGTTTGCCTGACTATTCTCTTTTATAGAAAAAATGGACATAAAAAACTTCTTTATCCGGTTTCCGAACTGAGACTCTGGGGGATACTGTGCTTTCTCGGACACAGGTACGGAATTCTTCCTCACAGTTCTTGTTTTCCTGACCTGGGCAGGAGAGTTCAGCTTCCAGCCTTGTGAGGGCCTCATTCCTGCAGGCTTTGCCTTCTGTGTTGTAGCTTTGGGCCTCTCACTGCTCTGTGTTGCGTCAGGACCCTGAAACATTTTGCTGTACCATGGCTGCTGGAGTTTAGATGTCTTAGGTTCTTGCTTCGTGATGTGCCCTCTCCTTGATAAGGGAGTGCGTGGCTTATAGAAAGTGGATGTGCTGCTTCCAGAAAGGTTCTGTGAGCTAGTCAGAGAACTCTGGGAAGCTAACATGTCGTCAGCAATCAGTACCTCAGGGCCACCATCTTGCAGGAATGCGTTAACATTGTAGTCCTGCAGGATATCATCAAAAGCAGTGCTTTCGCTTGTACTTGACCCTGCCTGTTCTTCTCTTGGGTGATTAGAAATTGAAATTCTCGAGGAGCATGGTGTTTGTTTGGTCCTCAGTTCTGAATTTCTGAGGTTCAAGTTATTGAAATCCATGTTACTGGGCTGTTTCTCTTCATCCTCATCCATTTCTGTGAGATCTGTGCTCTCAGATTTGGGTGGAGCAAAGACCTCTTGGATGGACACACTGTGGCAGAGGTTTTCTTTCTCTTGTGTCAAAGACATGCTGATTGCTTGGCTTTTAGTTGATTCTATACTGCTTCCCTCTGATCTTGGCACAATGTCATCGTGCCAATTTCTTCCTACTAGGATACAAGATTGAGTCTTAGAAAGCAGTCTACCTTCCTTTCTAGTTGGAGAGACCTCCAAGGGACCACAGTTATTATACTGTGTTCCCCTCCGGATTTCAGGTCGTGAAGGTGGTTGAGAAGGTTGTATGGTATGGCCTTCAGTTTTCTCTCTCTCTTTTTGTTCTTTGGGAAGGGCTTCTCTCTGGCATGCACCTTCCTTCACTGTGTGGTTGGCCATGTAGGGAGAAGCTCCCTGTGAAGTTGGCACAGGGGGCACATTTTTCATAGTAAGGATATTTATCAGTTTGAGAACCTTTAGGCACAAGCTCCACTGGTGCTTTGCCCAAAGCTTCTTGATATGCACATCTAGCAGCTGTCGAGTGGCAGCATCAATGTGGGAAACCTCCTGGGAGGAGCTCTTGCAGGTTTCCCTAGTTTCCAACGGTGGTTCTCCGCCAGTGTTCTTGCTAGAATTGGAGTTTTCAAGGGGGGCCAAGGCATGACCCATCATGCCCCGGGAACGACTAACATACATAGGGACCCTGTCCCTATTGATCTGCTCCCATTTAGTGGCGAGATGGGTTATTAGGGTTTCTCCTAGATAGTTATTTGAATGAGTTGGGGGAAAATATCCTGAATCACTACCTGGACTCATCAAGTCACTTTCTACTTTGCTTTGTATTTTAGCCTCTAGAAAATCCCCTGAGCAGCTTTCTGCATCCCTGTCTAGAGCTCTCACTGTGCTCACAGAGTATTGCTGGTCCTTTCTAGAGTTCTCCCATTGCTGGGGTACTGGGTACTCGGAGGCTGCTTTCTGAGTAGTCTGGTAGCAATTATCTATAGATGTAGAGTTCTGTAAAGACTTATGTTTGTGGTCTGTCTGATCTGCTCCTGTGAAATTCTCAGGGGGCAGCTGGGTCTTGCCGGTTGTTTTACAGAGGTGCTGTAGGAGCCTCTCTTGGAGGTGATGTTCCAGCTTTTCCCTCATCTCAAGGCTGCCAAGCTCATCTGAATGGTTGCTAGAGCCTCTCTGGTTCCAGGTGCCCTGATCTTGACTAAAGGTTTTGTGAGACTGTTTGACCACAGAAGGTAAAATTCTATGACATTCTAGGTGTTTCTTCTCGAGATGATGTTCTAGCTGTTGAACAATAGGTGGGATAGTAGAGGACGTCACTGGAGGTGAAGGACAAGATTGGATTGGTGTAGAGAACGTGTCATGGGCATAGGCCTGGATCTCAGCCACTGCGGAAGGCTGAGGCCAGGGTAAAGTTGGAGTGAAGGGTTGTGATTTGACCAAATGATGCAGTAAGGGCTGCTGTAGAAAGTACGGTGGAGGTACGTTAGCTTGGACTTGTACCGGCACTAAGTGTGAGAAACTATTGAATAAAACAGAAGGTAAGTCTAGTGGATGACCAGACATTTGGACAGGAGCCACCAGGGACTCGCTGTGCAGGAAGGGAAGGCCCCAGAACAGTTGGCAGCATTTCTGCAAGACCATGGGGAAGAACAGCTCCTGAGATTCAGGAAGCTGCTGTGGTTTTCCCTCGCTGTTCCAGAGGGGCTGAGGGATGGCAGTGTCTTGTGCACTGCCTAGTGACTTCATCGTGTTCCCCCGAGAATCCAGAGGGTGTTCTTTTTCCTGACAAGCTGATTTCAGCTTTTCTCTCTTACTATTCACTCTGTCTGGAAAATCCAGGAGATCAGAGTTGAGGGCTGGAATAGGAGAAGGCACCCTAGAGCTGTTGGTTGGAGAGCTCTGTGGGGTGGTTTCTGGTGGGACTTCCCTGATGTCACATGGGGGAAGACCCGAGTGTGAGTCGTGCCTGGGTGGAGTGCAGGCCACAGGTGGAGGAAAATGAGAACAGGGAAAAGACCCTTCTCCTAGAGCAATCGACGGCTCCGGAGGCTGAGACACACTCTGGGATGAGTGTGACTCAACAGAAACTGAGGAACCCATGTGGACTGGTGACAAGGTAGAGGCCAGAGGCTGCAAGCCCTGGGGTGAAGGAGATGGGGAAGCCTTCAGGGACACTGTGCTGGAGAAAGTGTCCTCCTCAGAGTCCCTCGCTGACGGGTGGGCTGTAGCAGATTCTGAGTTGAAAACTTCACCTAAGGCATCTCCTTTTAAGAAACGCTGAAAGCTTCCAGTGTCATCGAGTTTCCCTAGGGCACTGTAGGAGACAGGAGACAAACTTCATTCAGCAACAGACAGGCCCAGTATGGACAAGGGTATTTACCTGCTGTCCAGGGCACCCACAGTACCACACCCTGTCATTTACACAGCCCTTGCTTTTCTACATCCTGTGGCTTCAGCCACATCCCAGGCCAACCTGAAGTTTCTCTCTACCCCAATACAGTTCCATTCCCTGGGGTAGAAATGCAGGCACAGGGACATGTGGAAACCTTACCTACTCAGAAAGGAAGCTAAGTCATGTATCTCCTCAAGTTCTTCCCGAATCTCTCTGCAAGCTAGAAACAGAAGGTGGTTAGGGCAGATAAGGGAGGGCCTCTGGAACCTACAGGAGGCTGAAGGAAACATCTCTCTATTAAAGAACATGGAAGATCACATTGGATCCCAGATCTGTATTAATGGCTGCCAGATGTGTACCAGTGCTAAGAGGGCATATAGAGGGGTAGTGCTTCTTTATTTACAAGGGACCATCGGCCCTGCAAACCTCCACAATCTGCACAACCTCTTGGGACACCCGGAAAAAGGACATCTCATTGCTAATACAGTTTTTAGGGAATTGAATTGGGCCACATGTGGGCTTGAAGTTCCCAGCTCCTCATCAAGTCAGTGTTACCTCTCAGCCTCTCAGCCCCTCCTCCTGTGTGACACACCTCCACATCATCAGTGTGACCTTACAGCCTCTCAGCCCCTCCCCCTGTGTGACACACCTCCACATCATCAGTGTGACCCCACAGCCTCTCAGCCCCTCCCCCTGTGTGACACACCTCCACATCATCAGTGTGACCTCACAGCCTCTCAGCCCCTCCCCCTGTGTGACACACCTCCACATCATCAGTGTGACCTCACAGCCTCTCAGCCCCTCCCCCTGTGTGACACACCTCCACATCATCAGTGTGACCTCACAGCCTCTCAGCCCTGCCCTGTGTGACACACCTCCACATCATCACTGTGACCTCACAGCCTCTTAGCCCCTCCCCCTGTGTGACACATCTCCACATCATCAGTGTGACCTCACAGCCTCTCAGCCCTGACCTGTGTGACACACCTCCACATCATCAGTGTGACCTCACAGCCTCTCAGCCCCTCCCCCTGTGTGACACACCTCCACATCATCAGTGTGACCTCACAGCCTCTCAGCCCTGCCCTGTGTGACACACCTCCACATCATCACTGTGACCTCACAGCCTCTTAGCCCCTCCCCCTGTGTGACACATCTCCACATCATCAGTGTGACCTCACAGCCTCTCAGCCCCTCCCATTTGTTATGATGCATGTCGCAGCTTCATTCCACGCAGAGAACCTAAGAAGTGTCTCCAGTTCTGGTTTCTTTCCCAGGACTCTCCTGCTAAGGTTTTACACACTGAAATACTTGGTGGCCTGGCTCTTGCTGACAGAGACCGAGATCAAATCCCCTTGGGAGAAAGTGCGGAGCCTACCTTTCAGAGCAGCTCGTTTCTTCTTGCACTTGATCTGGCCTCTTTTCTCCACAGAATACTGAGAGATGAGAAAAACGTGACTTAGACCTCTTTACTCTTTTCCTTTCCCTAGACAATTAGAGATATTTGGTGTTTCTGGATAAAATGATGTCTTCACCTGTGTCCCTGCATTTCCTTTCTTCACAGTTAGTGTGGCTGCTAATTATTTGTTTTTCTTATATGAGATAGACAACCAAGATCACCTCAGTGCTTTTTCTGTTCTCAGGACCAAGACCCTGATTTCCAGGTGCCTCTTATCTTCCAGGTTGGCTTTTCCTTCCTGAGTCCAAAGGTGACCTTAGCCTCTGATGGGAGGTTGACATGGGCTTTGAACAGCCCTCTAATCAGCCTAGCACTGGGGAGAGTGCGGTTTTCAGGCCTCTGTGTTCAAGTCCTCAGCTCTTAGGACCTCAGTCCTTGGATGCTGAGTTTCAGGGTTTGAATTAACCCTGGAACTTGCTGCACACCACACAGCTGTTCTGAGAGCTCAGAATACTACCTTATGCTACTGACATTGTGCCCTGTGCTGATAGTGCCTAGGAAAAGATGGCTCTCTTTTCTGGAATTTCCCTTCTAGAAGCCTTGCTACCTTGTTTTGATGTGAAAACATCAGTAAACAAAAGAACCATTTAAAAAATTATCATTAAGTAGTTGTACACAAGAGTTGCCATTTCACAAAGCAGTTTGTGAATATCATGTATCTTGATCACTGTTAATTCTTTCCAGTGTCTCCCTTTCCTCTCCCACTTACCCCTTTCCCTTCTTACTGTGATAGATTATAACATTGGATTCTTGTCTACATTTCCTCCTTTTCTCCCTTGACTACCCTCTTTCCCTTTGAAGCCTCCCCACCCTGTCAATTACTCATTTCCTGTTTTGTTATTTTACTGAACTTGGATTTTTGGCTTTCTAATGAATTCCACTTTGAGATCTACTTTGACTCTACCATATCTCAGTCAATACATTTGTGTACACATACATAATACCCACCGTATTTGTGAGTATATAAGCTAAATCTAGCTTCCATATATAGAAGAAAACATGTATCCTTTGTCTCTCTGGGACTGACTTAATTCACTTAATTTTCCCAAGTCTTTCATTTCTTTACAGATGCTACAATATCATTTTTTCTAATGGATAAGTAAAACTCAATTATATATATATATATATATATATATATATATATATATACATACACACAGACATATATATATAAATTCACATGTATTTTTGGGTGGTATGTCCTTAGGGATCTTACCTTCGTCAGTTTGTTCTTTCTCTCAGGTGTTGGTGAGGATGGATTTTCCTTGAAGCAGGGGAGTAGCAGTAGCAGGAGGTAGAGCCCCACGCCACCCACAATGGCAAGGATCATATCCATTGCAAAGGTGGCGAGTTCAGGGCTCAGCCATGGTATAGCAACGCTTTTCAGTGATAAGAGAAGATTCTCCATCATCTGAATCGCACTATTGCTCTTGAGCAACTGAGCTCTGGGAGTTTCTTTGGCAATATATAGTAAATGAAGGCCTACATCACAAAGACTTGGTTTTCTATTAAGTCACAAGGGGGGGGGGGAGTGATGTGTCACAAAGCCCTACCACTGCCACTAGCTCAGCAAGTCCTTCATTCTTGGGCCCTCTAGATTCCTACCTCCAAATTCACCTGCTCAGCCTGTCAGAGGCATTCTTCCATCCATTTCCCGTGCCTTTCCCCTTGAACTGAGACATAAACTGTTTCTTTGGAGATCACTGCTTACAGTCCATATTGTTAACAGTTTTTGAAAATTTGACTTTACTCTGGAATTTGTGTTGTTCACTTTGCTTTGTAGTCTCAAGATGACCCCTGTCTACAATTCCCAACTCTCCCGTGTTACTGGAAATTCAGTTCCCTGAATTCAATGTCAATTCAATATTAGTGAGATTAATGTCTTAGAGTAAAGGAAATAAAGGTTTATTAATTTGCAGGCAAAATGAGACCTACTTGAGCTATTGTCTGAGAAAGAAGAGCAGTCCTTGTGGGTAGGGGAAGAAGGAGGCTTTTATGGACAGGCCCAGGAGCATGGACTTCCTGATGGATTTAAGTGCTGAGGCATGATGGTCAGCTTAATGGGCTGTTTATTTTGTAATGTGTTAACTAGCAGTCTCCAGAGATGTAGTCCTTGTCCTAAATGTTCCTTCAATACTTTGGAAAGCAAGATAAGGAGAGGAGTGTGGTGACCTTGACTGAAGGTATGAAAATCATCCTGAGTTTCCTCTCCTAGGGAATGGTAAGTGGGTGGGGGGATAGGAGAGTGAGAAATAAGAAAAATGCTGCCTTTGAAAAATTCAAGTAACTAGATGCATCCTGGTTGTCATGAGGTAAATCTTCATATGTGAACATATTCAGATGTCAGTTCCTGTTACATTTTCCCCACTTTCAACTTTACCCACCAATTTCTTTGAAAAGACTTATTGTCCATGTCTAGCTGCTTCCTGCTGAAATGGAGTAATGTCCTAGGATGACTTGGTGTCTCTCAGCTGTAATCCCAGCTAAGGAGGAGACAGCAGTAAAGGTCTGAAATTCAAAGCTGACTTTGAGGAAAAATACCAGAAAGATAACAGAAAATATTTGAAAAATAATTAAAAAGCTAGAAAAAGGAAGGGCCCTAGCTGTGCCTAGTGTGAGGTCCTGAGTCCCAATCATACTACTGCCAAACAAAACAACCTATTAAAGCTAGCAAGGAACTATGGTTCCATGTTCTTCACATTTCTACCAATATCAGCTTTCTGTTTTGTTTGGTTTGTCATGTGTGCTACTCTTGGGCTTGAACCCAGGGTGTAAGCCCTGTTCCTGTGTTTTCTGTTGAAGGCTAGCCATCTGCAAATGGAGCCACAGCTCCACTTGCTTCTGCTTGTTTTATAACAGCTATCGCAGTGGATGTAAAGGGGTGAGACCCTGTGGTTTTGCCTTATCCCAACGACTAGTGATGTTTCATGAGGCTGTACATCTGCTGTGGAAAAATTCCAATTGATGCCCTGTGCCATTTTCTGATTAGGTTTATTTTTAATTTATCTTATTATTTTGTGCCAGTTCTAGGGCTTGAACTCAGGTTCTGGGTGCTGTCCTTGTGCTTTTGTGCTCAAGGTTAGTGCTCTACACAGCTCCACTCCTGGCTCTCTCTCTCTCTCTCTTTCTCTCTCTTTAGCTATGTGTGTGATAAATTGGAGATAAAATTCTTACATGTTTTGCTGACTCGGCTGGCTTCGATCTGTGATCCTCAGATCTTTTATCTTGAATAGCCAGGATTATAGACATGAGCCACTGGTGCCCAGCAGTTCAAAGGTTTTTAGTCATTTAGTGATATGTCTCATTCCCAAGCTGGAATAGACCTAGTAAAGTGCTAACACCAGACAAGCTTTTGTTCTATGTAATTATTTCCTTAAAGCCACAGTAGTTTATTCTGTCTAATCTCTCATTTTGAATGAATATGCAAGTTTACTAAAGTGAGTGCTCAATATTCTGCACTATGTGAAAATATCACTCAGCTCATAACTCACTTCCTTAGTCCGAAGCATATTGAACCGTTGAAGAGGAGGTATGGACTGGACCCAGAGTGTGAGCACAGTTGAGTCTCTAAGGGCTCCTGTCCAGGCTCAGCCTGGCAAATGTGCGGGGTTTATGTCTGGTCTGCACTTCCCCGCGGACACCAGCAGGGGCTCTCGCGGCACCAAGTGGCGATAGTGCCCCCAGGAGCTTCAGGGTTGGAGGCTCAGCAGGCTCCAGGGCACAGAGCAGTGTGCTGGAGGGTTGGGGTGGGGTTTACAGGTTGAAGCTTATTTTTGGTGTGCTCTGGCTACTTGAAACACACAAGAGAAGAGAGCAGCAAGGAGGCATTAGCACCAAGCGGAGGACTGGAGTGATGGACAGTGGAGGACACTCAGACGCGGACACGGCCCTACCGCCGTGTTCAGGATGCTCGTGATTCTTTCTATGCAGACCTGGAACCCAGGAGTGGCGGGATACATTCGTGAGTGCAGAAAATCCTTTAAAACCTGTATCAGAAACTGAGAAAACGCCATTGCATTACTATAAACTTTTATGAAAACCGTGGCTGGCCTGCTTCGGAAAATGAAGCTAGCACGAGGTGGTTTATAGTTGATTAGCCCTCCTAAGTCCGGAAGATGAAAGTACTTTTGACTCTGGGAGCCCAGGTGTCTTGCAGTCCCCAAGAAAGCTCTCGTTGTGGTAAGGTTAGCAGGAGCATGTTGATTGAGGAGAGAATAGGATGGGATTGCTGGACAGGAAGGTCAGGCCAGTGTCCTCACTGGTGTTTTGGTGTGGATAAATCTTCCAGGAACTTAGTTACAAAAAGAAATCACTGGCCCTGGCCTAGGTGGCTTGGTCCTGCATTAGCATCATAGGTGTATGGAGTTGGCACTCCACCCAGTAAGCAGACCAGAGAGGTGCAGGGCTACCAGGTGGGCACAGCCTCCTCAGGCACAGAGAGCAGACAGGTAAAGGGAAGCACCACCATCTGAGACTTTTTTCTTTTCCTTTTTTTATTGTGAAAATACTGTATAGAGGGGTTACAATTACATGGGCAAGATAATGAGTACATTTCTTTTTTTTTTTTTTTTTGTCGGTCGTGGGGCTTGAACTCTGGGCCTGGGCGCTGTCCCTCAGCTCTTCAGCTCAAGGCGAGCGCTCTACCACTTGAGCTACAGCGCCACTTCTTGTTTTCTGGTGGTTTATTGGAGATAGGAGTCTCACGGTCTCTCCTGCCCGGGCTGGCTTTGAACCGCGATCCTCAGATCTCAGCCTCCTGAGTAGCTAGGATTACAGGCGTGAGCCACCAGCGCCCGGCTATGAGTACATTTCTTATCAAGCATTGTAGCCTCCTCCTTTTTTTCCCCCTCCCGTCCCTTCCCATCCTCCCCCCCCTCCCCCAATCCTCCCCGCCCCACCCCCCATACCCCCCACCAAAGTTGTAAAGTTCGTTTTTGACATAATGACTTGTACATCTCATTGTTGCCATGGGTCCACGTGTATCCCTATTTAAATGATTTGTTTTTCCCCTTCCCCTCCACAAATTATACTGACATGAAATACAGTGAAAGCAGGGGTTATACTGTGGGGGAGGGACATACAAAGCAACAAAGAAATCATCTTATAAATGAGGAGGCTTTTTTCTTTTTCTTTTTAAAATTAAGATCAATGATTTGATTTAAAAATGTTTATTGTATTGTTAAGGTGATATGTAGAATGCTTACAGTTTCACAAGTCAGGTAAAAAGTACATTTCTTTTTGGTCAATGTCATCCCTTCTCTCGCTCTCTCCTAGTTTTCCCCTCCCATCCTCACCCATAGTTCTATAGTTCATTTTCAACATAGCGTCCAGCGAGTACCTTGCAGCATTTGTTCATCCTTTGGCCTTCCATTTCTCTGTTTGGAGACTTTCTTTTTTTTTTTTTAAATTTTATTTTATTTTATTTGAGAACATACTGTACAGAGGGGTTACAATTACATGGGCAGGATAATGCATACATTTCTTACCAAGCATTGCAGCCTCCTCCTTTGTTTACCCTTCACCTCCCTTCCCAGCCTCCCCCCTCCCCCCCACCCAATCATACCCCCCCCACACCGATATTGTAAAGCTGGTTTTGACATGACATTTTGTACTTCTCATTGTTGCAACAGGTCCACCTGAATCCTTAAATGACTTGTTTGTCCCCATCTCCTCCACATGTTATACTGACATCAAATATAGTGAAAGCGACATACAAAGCAACAAAGAAATAATCTTATAAATGCGTTAGAAACACATGCATGAAAGAAACAAAAACATTAAAATACATATTTGAGGGTTCGTTTTCCTAACATCACATTATCTGACTTTTTCCACTTGACTCATACCTATACTAGATATTGCAAATAAGGGAAACCATGGGACCTATGTTTCTTTGGGCCTGGCTTACTTCACTTAATATAATTTTTTCCAAGCCTTTCCATTTCCTAAAAAATGGGGAAATGTCATTCTTTCTGATGGAGGCATAGAATTCCATTGTGTATATATACCACATTTTCTTGATCCATTCATCTACTGAGGGGCATCTGGGCTGGTTCCATATCTTAGCTATGGTAAATAATGCTGCAATAAACATTGTTGTGCTGGTAGCTTTAGTGTGGTCTTGTTTGTAAACATTAGGGTAAATGCCCAAAAGTGGGATTGCTGGGTCATAGGGGAGTTCTATGTGAAGTCTTTTGAGGAACCTCCATACTGCTTTCCAAAGTGGTTGAACAAGTTTACATTCCCACCAACAATGAAGTAAGGTTCCTTTCTGTCCACATCCCCTCCAGCATCTGTTGTTGTTAGAGTTCTTGATTTTTGTTGTTCTAACTGGAG